CAAAATTGTATGTGAATATTAAAAAAATGGTTCTTTTGTCAACCATAAGCTATTTTATAGGGCTTTATTATGTTTGCTCAGTTATTGAAAACGAATTCATAAAAAAATCAAGGCAATCGTAAGCTTCGCAACTCCCAAATTTTTACAGATGTTGAGAACTTTCATGACGTAGCTCCTTTTTATACAATATTTATGAAATCCTTTAGCATTATTCTAGCTTTAATCACAAATGTGATAAAAATAAATAAATTTATTTAGATTATGGTAGCAAATAAAGTGACAGAACAAATTAAGGTTCTTATGACCTCTACATCCGTTTTAAAACTCCTTGATTTCAAAAAAAATATTTGAAGTGACATAATGCTCATGAGAACCATGTAATGACATTCTTCAATGAAAATTTAAATGAAGTTAGACATTGATATTACACTTGTAATAAAGGATTCTATACAATCTTTCAAACCCTAAAGCATTGGAAAAATTATTTACTGACTAAGAAGTTTATCCTTAATTAAAAATCATCATTCTTTAAAGTTCATAATACCCAAAAAAATTAAATCATAAATATGTCAAGTGGATAGATTTACTTTAGGAATTTTTTTTTTTTTGTATGTACGTAAACATAAATATGAGGTTTGTACGTAAACATAAATATGAGGTAGACAACAAACTAGCAAATGCAATATCTATAATATATCTCATAATCACTTCTTTTGAATTCCAAATCTCTAGATTTAAATGTTTAAAATATGACTATAAAATTTACATTGATATTTTTCTCGTCTAATTGGAGTATGAATCCAAAACCATATCATTTAATAGCTCCTATATCGATATTAATGATTATCATTACAAGAGAAAAGAATATGCATCTCTAAAACATTCATAAGAGAATGCCTAAACATATAGCCTTATTCAAGGGAAATAGCAAAAATGCTTGAGACTAAAACCTTACTTGAGTTATGATTTTATTGGCCTTCTTAAAAAAGAGATATTGATTGAATATGCCAGTGTTAGATGTTGTCAAGCTAAGGAAACAAAACAAATATTACGAAAGTATATAGCCTTACCTATTCCTTGTAGACCTCAAGAAGACATATCTATGGCTTTATTTTTACCTTCCTAAGACATTGAGAGGGCATGATTGCATCTATGAGATTGTTGAAAGATTTACTTAAATCTCTCATTTCTTACTTTGCTCAAGATCAAATAATGTATCACATATAGCAAGAATATTTTTTAAGGAGATTGTGAATTTACATGAATTTTCATCCAAAAAAATTATGAAAGAGATGTTAGATTTTTATTTTATTTTTGAAAAATATTGTGAAAACTAACAAGTAACAACTTGAAATTTATAGCTTTGTATTCCACCATCACTTAGATGAACAATTTAAAGTTGTTAACAGAGATCTAAGAAATTTACTGAGATTTTTTAGCTAAAAAAAGTCTTGAAAATTGGCTTCCGCTCCTAAGTACATCAGAATTTGCGTATAATATCACTATTTTTAGGACAAAAATGCATCACCTTTTGAAATACTCTAAAGGTATAACCTTTAAAAGCCTATTAATTTAGTTAGCATACTTATTAATGCAATTTTTTTATTCAACATACACATTTGCATTTGACTTTCATAATCTTCATGAAGAAGAAAAAAAAAATTAGAATTACAAAATGCTGAATATGTTGAGCAATTAAACAAAAATGTTTAAGAAGTATAATATAAATGATCATGTATCAATACGCATCCAACCTGAGCGGTTTATAAAGTTACAAATGAAAGTACGCGAAGATAGTAAAAATACTTGGTAATAATGCTTATATCCTTAAATTTCCTTCTGACAATATCTATTAGTAGGGTTAAAAACTTCCAAAAATGCACGATAATAATTGTAGTTGGAGATAAAAATTATTTGCAGGTACCTATCCAACCTTCATTCTTTAAAGTGTAGTGAAGATTCTATCAAATGAAGATGCACCACAAAGTTTTCTAGTTAGGTGGAAAATAAAGCCACCAAGTGACAATACTTAGTTGACCAAGGAAGAACTATAACAACTAGCACTAGAGCTAATGGAAAACTACATTAAACAAACCCTTTTTTAGAAGAATACTTTAAGGCCCAAGGAAATAGTGTGAAAATAGGAGTATGTAGTGGTTAGGTGGCATGATCATTAGAGCTCAGTCCAAGAAAATTATAGTTGATTTAGCAAGAACAAACACAAAAAGGCAAATGAGAACTTTAAATTAGAGAATTTATTTTATTAGCATTTATTTTAATTATGCATGCATTATTTGTAAAATTATAAATTTGTTGTATGTATTTTTGTCAACAATTGTTGAATTATGGAAATCGAAATTTTAAAATTCATAAGTTTGGAATTTTGGACATATCTTCAATTATAATAGAAGAGTCACATGAATTAAAAGGAATATAATTATTAGCATAAATAATCTATATTACATTTAAGTTGGTTGGCCAAGGGGAGTTAGACCTCGTTGGGGCCGTTTAGAAGAGTGTCCAAGGAGATGTGGTAGTTATATGGCGAGCCCTATGGTGGTAGTTAAATAGTCGGCCCCTCCTTCCTCCTCCCTCCCATTTTCAAAATTTCAAAGTAAATGTAGAACTACAATATATTTTTAATTGCAATGAAATAAAGCTTTTTTGTTGTTGCTTAACAAAATATTGGAGTGAAATTCTAATATTGGTGTAGCTTGAAGGTTGGTTGTAGTAAAGAGGGGTTCGGTGATCTCTCCAACCCAAATCACTTGGAAAGTGATTTGATTTGTGTTGCTTTTCTTTGTGAAATTTTGATGTAAAATTCTTCTAACATCCATTCCCTGTCTTATAAAATTAATTCAAAATATAAATATCTCAAAAAAGTCCCATCAAAATTTTATAAAAGTGACTAGCTAACATAGTAAAGGAATCAAACATATTCTAGTTCTATACCATAGTTGTTGGTCTTAAATCTTCTCAAAAATCATGAGAAACTCTAAAAATATTCTATAAACACTCATCTACTATATTTAAGTGTTTTCCCAATGTTTTCTTTGCATTAAGTCATTCCACTAAAACCTTGAACCCCCAATGCAGTCCATTCTGTCATATTAGATTTTCTGTGAACCCAGACACTTTATAAAATAGGAAAAAAATATGTGAAAATTTTCGAAAATTGTGAAACTCTCCAGATTACTACTAGACTCTTAAACCTAACATTTATACTTAGTTTCAAAGTTTGAAATAGCTTCAATTGCTTTAACAATAAATTTGAAGTCAGGCTATTAACTCTTAGGTTAGGTTGTGCAATAGCTTAATATAATCACTTCTATGCTTCAAACTTTTAAGTCCAAGTCAAATCTAACCCCATCAAGCCTAACAACATTTTTAGGTCTATTGAGAAGAGTTTCAAATAATAATTAACCCCATCAAGAATGTCAACCTCAAGACACACTTTCCTAATTTAAATAGTCATAATAACATCAAATATATATAAGATTGCATATGAATAAATTAGCATAAAAATGATTGATTAATATTTTTCATACGAATGATTATGAACATCATCATACCGTAAATTATCATAAAGTAGATAACAAATTTTCATTTAAGTAAAATTATTCTAACTTAATAATGTTAAGAGATTAATAATATTGTTATAATATTTTAGATCATGCCTCTTATACTAATCATGTTGCAAGTTTTACTCATTATTGTTTATGCTTTAAAAATAAGAGTTGTGTACTAATTTTGAATGTCCAACTCATTCATGGTAATAAAAAATTTTTAATAGATCATACCGAGTTGCTTGATGAACCATTGCTACAGGATTGAGTTTTTCAACATTAATTATTTCATTAATTTGATACTTGAGTTAAAGTTGCAGTTCTTCATTTACGGTATGTTTAGGGCAGCTACGCTGTTTGAAGAAGCAGCTATGAAGTTAGTGAAGAGGACAATGATGTTCAAAAAGATGCAGTGACTATTACAATTTTTTTTGTTTAAAATAAAACCGCAGCTTCCTAGCAGCCACATCACTCAGCTAGGTCCGATGACAAAACATAACTTTTCAGCTGTAGCGTTTTGAAAAAACAAGCAAAACATGATTTTACCAAACAGAAAAAACTACAACGCACCCTTAAACTTATTGATTTTAGGGCAGTTGATCTTCCCTATTAGCTTGCTTTTGTTTACAACTATTTATATATAAAACCTTCTCACCTTGAATACAAAACAATTTTGATTGTTGTTGACTTCTGAGATTTATTTCCTAAATTAAAATCAATCACTTCATCATGTCTTATAGGGCCTAGGTGTACCGCATTCAAAACCCTCGACACTAACCTATATACATAATTTTCTTATATTTTTTTAAGAAAAATTGAACCTACATGGGAAACTGTTAGCAACAATTTTAAAAAATGACATTAGGAAAGTGTCGAAATAGAAAAAAACAAAATTTATTGTAAGAAGAGCAATGCTGGAGAAATAGTGCGGAGATATTCTCTTCATAAAACTTGATAAATAGGTGCTTCCAATCATTACAACGTGAATTCATATAGTTTAAATATAATATAGAAACAAGTTATATGCAAATTTTTGTAAACTCTTCAACAACTGCTTGCTAATTAAACAAAATTTTCAGAGAATCATAAAAGCGTCAGTAGAATCCCCTCTCGCTAAACATTCCCAACCCACCCCCACATGCCAAACTAAATTTTTATGTCACTTACTATGACAATCCATGTAAAATCAACTTACTAGGTATCCATAAACTGAAAAATCTAAAATCTCTGCCTGTCTAAGACCATAAATTTTGCAAAAAAATGTCATTTCATAAATCGTTAAGAAAAAAGGTTTTGAAAAGCAGAGATTGTTTACATTAAGCCACCAGAAAAAAATTACCAATGAGAACCAAACAAGTAAAAAGCCACTTTATAGTTACAGTCAGAAGTATAATAAATTACTTTCTTGATATGAAGGAAATTATTAGCAATTACTTCTGCAGGAGAAAGGAACCGAGTATATGGATCTCCAAGGCTAGCTAACATCTTCCGGATCACATTGTGAGCTCTGAATCTTGTTTGGATGTTGTTTTGGAAGATGTATTCTTTCTCCTTCTGTTAGAAGAAATTAAATGAATAGCTAGATAAGATAGGAATTCCAGTCAAGGAGAGCATTTATTAATTAAATGAATTGCAAGAGAGTTATTGAACGACAAAAGTGACTACAAGCAGTAATTTACATGTTTTGACATGATGACAACATTTACCTCTATTCAATAAAAACAGAGAGACAGCATTCTCAATTTTACTTTCTGATGTGTTTTATGTTATTATTTTTAATGTAATTATCCATTGAAATATAACCTAAACTAAATCATCAATGCTCAGGATGTTATTTCAAATTCGAGGCCTTTCAAAACATGTGGCAATTGAACTTGCCAAATCTTGCCATTTCAAACAAACTTTCTAAAAAAAAAAAAGTTTAAATCTAATTCTGTGGAAGTGATATTAAGATTTACTAGATCTATCACATATTCAATTTTAATAAAGGGGCAATTACATGCATAGCACTTGAAACATTGCTATTCACAAATCTAGCACTCTCTTTCATCCATTTCTCAAATTCTCACTCATTTAACAAATCAAATTTGTTAATGAAAGTTCTCCTATCACGCCTGGCCCGATAGCAAAGAATTAATCAAGTATGAACTACAGTCGGGCGGTTAACCTTTCATTTATATTAGACGAAACTTCATAACTTCTAATTTATAAAAGAACAATTAAGAAACCAAAAAATACACTAAATGTATATTTATATCATCCAGAAACAATAACATAGTCTGCAAATAAAAATATCTCAATCCACGCACAACAGCATCTCTAACGAGAAGTAAATAATACAAAAAGAAAAGTACAATAACATCACAATATAATACTTATCAGTTTTAGTTCTCCTCCTGTAAACTAAAACCCTTCTTTCCTTCAAACTCAGTCGATTCTCCTCCTTCATGCACGCCGACACAACGCAGTGCCGACTTCCACAACCTCAGAGGAACCCACAGCAAGAGGCGATGTCGGCTTCCCTCACAAGCACCTGCACATAATTAAGACGCTTCTAGCCCCATGTATGTGTTCGATTCTCTACTTCCCTTGGGGGTTGAACATGCAACCCTTCCTTTCTCTTCTTCCTTCAACATCTTTTCTACCTTCTTCCTCTTCTCACAAAACCCTAAAATTTTCTTCCACACTTGCTCTCTTGGTTGATACGAAGAAAATGGACCCCATTCAACCCCTCCGATTCATAAAGACGAAACCGCCTGACAATTACTCCTTCATGCCGAATTGAAATTCTTTTTTTATATAATTTCTTTATTTATTTAAAATTTCAGTTATTGCAATCTCCACTCATAAAATTTCATCCTAGAAATATGAAAAAAAATCATGAAAGCAAACATAACACAAATGAAAAGTTGTGGATATCTTTCTTGTATATCAAAAAATTTCTCCCAAGTAACATCTTTCTCTAATCCGTGCTTCCATAAAATCTTCACCAATGAAATCTCTCTATTAGGTAACTTCTTAAAATCATAAGCCAAAATCCTTTCAGGTTCTTCTATATAAGTCAAATTAGTTTGTACATCAATTAAGTTTGCTATCACCCTACTAGATTCATCTACAATATACTTTCTAAATAAAGAAATGTAGAAAACATTATGCACTCCTTGCATATGAGTTAATAAAGCCAATCTGGAAGCCACTGTTCTAATTCTGACCATAATTTCATATGAACCCACATATCTCGGACTCAATTTTCCCATATGTCAAAGCCTTTGCACAACCTTCAATGGACTAACTTTCATAAAAATAAATTCTCCAATTTAAAACCCTACTGATCTGTATTTAGCGTCATAATTTTTCCTCAGCATATCATGCATTGTCTTTAAATCTCCTCAGTAGCATCATCAACTAAATCAGGTCCAATAACCTTTCTTTCACCTGCTTCAGCCCAACATAAAGGGGACCTGCACTTTCTTCCATATGAAAGTTTCATATAGAGTCATTCTAATACTGGCCTGGCAATTGTTATTGTAAGCAAACTCTACCAGGGTGTACGTGATTCCTATCTTCTACCAAAGTCAATGACATATAACCTTAGTAGATTCTCCAAAGTCTAAATGTGTTTCTAACTAGCCATTTATCTAATGATGAAAGGTTGTACTGTATGTTAATTTGGTACCCAAAGTTTCTTGAATCTTCTTCCACAATTTGGAAGTAAATTTATCATCTTTGTCCAAAAAATAACCTTTGGAAATTCATGTAACCTTACAATTTGATCCACATCTAACTTAGCTAACTTGTCAACATGATCTGTTTGTTTCATGGGCCAAAAATAAACAGACTTTGGTTAATCTATCAACAGTCACTTAAATAGCATCATGACCCTAGCGTGATCTAAGAAATCCAATCACAAATTCCATAACAATCTCCTCATATTTCCACTCTGGAATCGATAAGGGTTGTAACTGACATCCAAGGCGCTGATGCTTTGCCTTTACTAGTTGACATGTAGAACATTAGCCACAAATTCTGCCACACTCCTCTTCAATCCTAACCACCACAATATTTTCTCGAATTCCCGATACATTTTATTACTCCTTGGGTGAATAGTATAGCTAGAAAAATTTGCTTCCTCTAGGATCTCCTATCTCAAATTATCAACATCTAAAATATAAACTCTGCCTTTATATTTCAATAAGTCATCCAAGCCTAACACGTACTTCTCCAAATTGCCTATCTTAACCTGCTCCAGGATTTGTTGAACATTCATATATCTAGCTAATAAATCCACAATTTTGTCATTTAAAGTGGACTGAATAGTCAACTGATTTAATTGAACCATATTGTCATCAGTATAATCATTTATGAATAGCTTCAATTTCTCCAAATCTTCAAGTAATTGCTCCTACTAAGTAAATAAACAGTTCAAACTACCCGGAACCTTCCTACTCAATGCAACTGCAACAACATTTGCATCTTCGAATGACATTGAATATCTGAATCATCATCTTTAATAAACTCCAAATATCTTCTCTACCTCATATTCAATTCATTATAAGTGAACAGATGCTTCAAACTTTAATGATTTGTAAATACTTTATAGTTGATTCCATACAGATAGTATCTACATATCTTAAGTGCAAACACAATTAGTGCATATTTCAAATCATGTGTGAGATAGTTTATTTATGATTCTTCAATTTCCATAAAGCATAAGCAATGAGTCTTCTATGTGCATAAGTACACAACCCAAACCTTTTTAGGATGTATGACTGAAAGTCTAAAACTCATCTAAACGTGAAGGAACAACAATACTAGAGCAGCATTAAACAAATCTTCAGCATCGAAAAACTTCTCACAATGATATAGTTATTCAAAATTCACTACCTTCTGAGTCAATCTGGATAATGACATAACAATATGTAAAAACCCCTCTACAAATCTCTTGTAAAAACCAAACAAACATAGAAAACTGCTAATCTCAGTAATAATAGTTGGTCTTGGTCAATCGGTAATCTCGTTGATCTTATTTCGATCTACATATATGCCATCCCCAGTGATAATATGCCCAAGAAAAGCCACACTTTTGAGCCAAAATTTATGTTTAAGAAATTTAGCATACAATTTGTTCTCCTTCAAAACTTATATAACAAAATGTAGATTATTTGTATAACCGGCTTCATCTCCAAAATACATCAGGATATCGCCTATAAAGACAATCATAGAAGTATCCAAAACTTGTCAGAAGCCGGAGGTTGAGGATGGTTGGTCGGCTCAAAGAGATCACGAGAAGGAATCCAACCAAAGGGAACAAAGTCGGTCAAGCAAGCAATGCAAAAAACACAAAGAGAAGGAATCAGTGATGAATCATTGTCTAGAGAAGAGATGTTACGGTAATACACCTTCTTGATGACTTAAATTCACCCAGGCGATAAGAGAGCCTTTACTAAGGATTCACTAAAGAAGGTTGACTGAAGACATTCCAATCAAACAGAGACTTTCCAGCCAACCGAAGGCATTCCAGTCAATCAAATGATTATCAGGCGACCGAAAACCAATATTAGAGGTCATTAAATGCCCCTACAGTTATAAATAAGAAATGGCGTCAATGTCAGTTATGTTTATAAAAGAATATCACAGTCAGTTACAAATATGAAAATGTGTAATGATATAATAATTACGTGTAACGTTCCTATTAGAACGGAGATAAACATGCAATTTTACTAGAAAACCTTATGAATTATAAATAAGAGGTTATTCCTTTAAGAAAAGACTGTTGAATCTATTCTCAGCACTATACTTCTCTCTCTCTACCTATTCCTCTTGTTCGTCCAACGCTTTTTTTCTTGGGTGTGATCCACAGGATATTTTTGGATTCAACAATTACTTTGAGAATTTTTAAGGTGTTTGTAGAGCTTAAAACCGTAGTAATTTCTAAGTAAATTCATCCGAGTAATAAGATTCAGTAAATTCACCATTTTTCAAATCAATTTTTCTAATTTCAAGCAAACAAATGAGTTGGGAGCCAAACATAAAAGATACCAGCCACTTCTCTGGCGACCAAGCCCGGTGACCAACGTTGCCAATGAAGCTCTCATTAACGACCTCCCACGCCTCCTCCACGAGATCCTCGTTGGTCACCGAAGCCGACGAAACTTCATCCCCCGCCGCTTCTTCTTCCTGGCACACGCCGGCAGGAGAAGGCATTGACACCACCTCAAGCGGTGAAAGATAATTGGACGAAACCAAGGCCAGAGAGAGGAACCCAGCTAGGGATCGAAGCAGAATCTGATGAACGAACTTCAACGAAGATCCGTTGTTGTCGGCCTCACTGCGAACGTTATAGCGGTCGCCCGCGGCGAAAAATATTGTCGAACGTCGGTGGCATAAGCTTTGTGCATTTGTTCTCGTTGGGAGAGAGGAGGGTAGCGAGCGGTGGCAGCAGGAGGATATCATGGTTTGCAACTCGAGATGACTTCACACGGTCACCGTTCCTTCGGCTCATGCTCGTGTGGTTCTATTTAGAGAACTTTAACCGGGAAGAAGACCGACGATTCGTTTCAGATGGACCTGATTCTTTAATCCAGTCGGCCATTTTGCATGGATGTCGGAATTTGCAGGCTGTTAGATTTATATTTGTTACATGCCAACAAAATTTTGTGAAGAAACATTCATAATTTAAAATTTTGTTATTCCACAAACATCCAGCACAATATAAATAAAGAAAAAGTAATAGAATGAGATTTTTTTATATGAAAAATTTTAGAAAATAAAAATATATTGGGGTCTAGCCCTATCAAAATAATTAATAACATGATAGAGAAAATAGAGTTAGAATCTTATACTAAAAACTACAGTTATCTTTGTATAGTTAAAAAATGCATGTGTTAGGAAATTTAACAGTAGTTGTAGTATGGTTACAACGATTGTAAATAGTGGCAGTCGACAGCCAATGATCGCCAGTGGAAGGTGTTGACGATGGGCAGTAGTCAATTGGGATAGAGGCTACGGAGGTCGATAATTACTCGTTGAATCTTTTCTCCAGAACGAGCTAAAGAATTACATATCTCCACTTCTTCTTTACCAAACCCACCCCCTTTCCCCACCCACCCCACTCCTCTCCACCCCCGAAATAAAGTGAGGGCCCTATTTATAGTTTTTTCGGGGAGGGGTATTTGGTCATTTGACTCTTAATTTCCATAATATCGGATGACCTATATTGATCCCCTTTGACCATATATGATTTTTCTTAAAAGATTTGAGTGTCTTGATGTCATCGAAATTGAGCAATATTAGATTTTGTATTTGGTCATTTGACTCTTAATTTCCATAATATTGGATGACCTATATTGATCCCCTTTGACCATATATGGTTTTTCTTAAAAGATTTGAGTGCCTTGATGTCATCGAAATTGAGCAATATTAGATTTTGTATCATCAAAATGCTCGATCCAACCATAAATATGTAAAATTTAGGTTCACTGAATATATATCATCAAAATGCTCAATTCGACAATAAATATGTCAAATTTAGAGTTTATTTGACCATTGAATTGACGACCTAAAGCCTCCAATTATGTTTCAACATCTTGCTCTAGGCTTGATAAGACCCTGATTGAAATAATCTTAGAGTCGTTTGGTTCGGTTTTCTAAGATGCTCATTTTGATAATAAGCTTGATGAAATTGGAACTTGGATAACCTTAAATTTGGATTTGAAAAAAATTGTTTACTAAAAATG